TAAAACAAAATATGAAATATGGTAAGAATGAGATATAGTGTGTTGTACATCACATGAGGGTATTAGAGTCAATTGACATAGGAAAGTGCTATGTGCACAAAGAGATTTGAAAAAGTGTGATAAACACATTGTACATCATAAATAAGTGACATTGTGGCCAATTTTTTCAAGAAACAAATTACATAAAATCAAAAATTAAATTCCTTAAATATATTAGAAGTACATTTATAAAATTTGTGATATATATATGTTGTAGTCGTAGTTGTTTATTTTAGTTATTGGTTAGATGTTAACATTCTTAATCGATCGCATTTGCCATAATATCAGTCGATTCTCATGCAAGAACTATATAAAAAAATGTATTGAGTGTTCTTCTATTGAAGAAAACAAGAGGAAAAAATAAAAACAATGCGCGATATATACAAGTTCAAGAATTGCATAAGGAGAGAATCATCATCTTGTGATTTGAAAGGCATAACTCTTGTGTCCAATGAATTGTTTGACATCACATGGAGATCCTACATTGAGATTTGAACTGGGTTGAAAATCGTGTTTGTGTGTGTGTTCTTCCTCCCTACTTTCGTTGCTTGGTTTGCCTTCTCTTGTTCATGCGATATCATGATCGATTCCTTCAGTGACTGAGAGGCATGAGAATTTTCTACATTAAGTTTCTAAGGTATATCACATAAAGAAAATCAAAGCAAATGGTATCAAAGCTCCAATTTTTACTTGGAGGGAATGGATATTTCTTGTTGTGGAAGAAGAGGATGTTGGCTCATCAGAACGTTCTATGGTTAAAGGAGGGGTTAGTCGATGATCATGGAGTGATGATTCAAGAAGGCCAAGAATCGAAAGCTGATAAGAAGGCCAAGAAGAGGATTTTGAACCCTATTGATGTTAATGAATACATTTTCTATTGCTATGCTTCTGGTTGTTTGATGATGATTCAATAGTTTTCTTGTTGGGAATAATGAAAAATTCAATGAGTTTTTTCATGGTTCGTCATATAGATTTTAGAAATATAGTGATGCTCTTGATAAGTTAGACTAGTTCTTCATTTACTTATTTTTTGTTTTAATGCAGCAATTCAATCTTGAACACTTAGAACTTTATATTAGAATGACTTCGGCTTGCACATCACTAGACTTGTCATCTTGATATAATGTTTGATAGGCTTTGCCCTTTAACCTGTGAGAATAAAGTTACTAAGTTAAGTGAACACTTGATAGGCGCTTGAATGCTTGTTTATCTATTTGATTGAGTGCAAAAGATGATTAATTTATATTTAGTTCATTATCAGCCACCAGAGCGAGTTAGTCACAAATTACTGCTTTGAGTTTTAAGACGAAGAAAAAGATGTCAATAGCCTCAGAAATAAAACCTAAATAATTCGAGTTATGAATCCTTAAGAATGATCTGAATGCCTAACGCTTTGATATTATTGTTTAAAAACATTTTTAATTCAGTGTGATTTAATTTCTTGCAATCAAATAACAATATGTGATTTTTTCTATTTTCTTGTTAACCATTGTGCACTCTAAGAATATGTGCACTTATGGCTTTTTCATTGCTAATTTACTATTTTATTGCTAACCATTGTGCACTCTAGGTCGACATTGTACATGTTGTATTTTTCCTAATTTGTATTAAATCATATACATCTGCAACAAAAAATTTATATGTTTAACATGGTTAACTCTCAAACTACTTATGTTTTCAAAGAGCGTTTATGCACTTCATATTAGGGACAATTACAAAAATATCATTTTTTGTGTGCATATTTGAAAGAATACCACTTAGGGATATTCATTTACAAAAATGCCACT